CTGAAAAATAGTTGATTAAAAGATTAAACTTAGTAGATCAATGGGAATGTTCTATTACTGCAGTTCTCTGAGATAATTCCTTAAGGAAAGCATAGATGGATCATCAAAAAATGTATAAGAGACTTCACTTCTCTTCTCCTCAAAACACAAAAGGAGGATCTTAAGATAAAACAATATATGATTTATGGGTATAACGATAGGTAAGAAATCAAATCAATCCCCCAATCCAATATTATTTCTGCCAATTGTTGCCTCAAATATTTCCATACATCATTTATAACAATCACGAAATTTTCAACAGTCCACCAATATTATTTACCACCTCTTTTCAGTAAACCCTTTCTAAACCAAAAATAAGCTCTACAAAATCCCGGGCGCCTCCAATATAAACTCGATACACTTGAATGGTATATCAAAATAAATTGAACATCATATATATTCGTATATACTATATACAGATACAGATAGATATGTACAAATGTCTGTGTGTGTGTGTCCCGAGGGCTTTGGCGGACAACACAACAGAATTTCTGGTTATTACTTATATCAGAGAGCAGAGCCAATACAAATACCACACGAAAAACTATATTTTTTTGTGTGTGTTGTATTTGAAGAACTAAGCCCAAAGTAAATGACACAATGGTAACAAGTCCGTGACAAACAGAGAGAGTTATAGAGAAAGAGAAATATAAATAGAGTACGTACGAGTACGTATACGAGTGAGGAGTTCTATGCTAATCCCATCATGTCAATCACATACATAAAGTATTATGCCCGAGGAAACACCAGACCTAGATGAGCCTCAAACTGAAATTTGACTTCAGTTTTTGACACACACGGGTGGCAGGGGGTGGACTGGACTGGTCTGGAAGGGTAAATGTCATCAGCAAACATTGATAGTTGATAGTGCCTGATAACGATCCGAAACCGAACCCAAATCGAACCAATTTCCAACTGCAGCTAGTGGCCATTTTTAATGGCTTATCAGGGACGAGTGTGCGCTCCACAGCTGAGACCATCCCGCCCTAAAAAATACTCGTAGGTATCCTCTATCCATATCTCTGGGTGCTGTAATAATTTCAGATGTGTCATAGTAGATCGTGGTACTGCTATATAAATCTATGCTCTGGCATATAGTCTCTTCTTTTCGGGGGGGTTCTCTCTCTTTCACCTGTGTCTGTGTCTCGTCTCTGTTTCGATTATTTATGTGGCGCGATATAAATTTTCTGTGCATATTGACACATTAAATCTCAATGTGTCATGTGGCATTAGGCTGTTTTATATGCCCCAAACATGGACAATGACGATTAAATGAACAGACAATTCTAGTAGGAACTCCACTCCTTGGTTTTAATGAGTGAGATAGACTGATTTTGTCAATGAACCTCTAATGAAGGAGAGATAGAGTACAGGAGATAGATATTTTAAAGAATTTCTATGCTTTATTTAGAAGTATATTCTAAGGAAACCATTTCTGTAAATGGCTGAATATATGAATGAACATACATATGTATATATGATAATTTTGTAAAGGAAAACGTTTATATATGTACATATAATCTTTATAATTAAAGGATTATGGATGGACATATTAGTTAAAGATGTAAATTTTGTTATGATAGGTGTACCGTCTTTATAAATTCTGTAGAATAACAAATGGGCACTGATTTCTTATAAATGCAATGTACGCATTTTGGTGCCCATTTCTTTGTCTGGCAAATATACAAATTCCTTCAAATTTCGAAAGAAAGATATCAAAGCTCTATTATCATGGAGTGTCTGGAACATACGTACGTCTGGAGAAAGTCATAAAGATATCATATCATATCAGAGGATATTAATAACCCATTATAGTCATATATGATTTGCAATTGTTCAATGATTCATTTACTTGAAAGCTTTGAATGATAATAAATCGGGAACTAGAAAAATGATTGATGAACTTTTCATAAAAGTAGAGAGTAAATTTGGATTTCCAGTAGAACTTTGGGTACATTTAATAGGAATTCCTACTAATAAATATATAGAACAAATTGTACCTCTAACAAAAATCAAAATTTTCAAAGACCTCTACGAAATTCTCCGAATTAAATTCCAGAAATGTTTCGAAATAAAAGCTGATGAAAAAACTGCCATTTCTTGCCGTTTAATAATGATTGCATAGATTTGATCGTAAATGTCGCTATTTAGTTTTTATTGGAAGTAATACTAATTTTTATTGGTTTATGGCCCTATATTGTTTTAATCAATATGCCCGCCGCAAACCCAACGGAATCGAGCTTATCTACCAATGCTTTTTGACGTTCCCCCCAGATAACGCCTGGGGACAAAAAAGAACGCTCGCTCGTAGCGCTGTAGCCACGTTTCCATATCACTCGAAATATTATTGAAGCCACAGAAAATAGAACTCGTAACCATCGGTGAGAGGAGAGCCCAGGACTTATTGACAGGGCGGGCGTTTATTTGATTTCCCCCTCACTAATCTAATCGCGAAAAACCTGCCAGAACCGAACCACCACCAGCTACAGCCAGCCAGCCAGCCAGCCATTGAAATAAAAGTACAAGGCATCAGGCCAGGCACCACCAGCCACCGCACCAAGGGGCAGAGCCAGAGGAATTGTTTTATTGCCACACCCCAAAATCAAGTGGGCCGCGCTGTGACGTACCCTGGCACATGCCTCGACAAAATAAATAGGCCCGTTCTCCAAAGAACTACAGTTATAGTTCTCTGACTAGGAACAGCATCTAACATATGAAAAATAAATGCAGCTAATGGAGATTTTAAGTTAGAGATATGGTAGATCACAGAAACTAGTGAGACGGAACTGTTGGAGAATTGTATACATGAGAATTTTACTATCAAGTAAAAGAGATTTAAAGTTTATGGATTTGTAATGTAGATCCATATGTACATATGTAGAAGGACTCCTCTTCTATTATTCTCAGTTTTTTTTCGCTTTGCACTCTTTGTGTTTTCATCTTACCACTTTTAACTTTAACCTCTAGTATGAAGCTCTGCAATTGTGTAATTTTAAGTAATCTAAACTCGACTGTATTCTTTAATTGATTTCCTTAACAGTAATCAGAAAATATTACTCAGACCAAAAGAGAGTGGGGTCCCAGACAATAATACCCAGCCAACTCTTTGAATAATAAATAAAGTAAACTTAAGTTGCCTTGTCGGCTTGACCAGGTGGATTAACCGACAACAAAAAAACGGCAACGGGCAAAGGCCATAAACGTTAATTGCATACCAACAGATTTTATGGGCTTAATGGATATCGTCGATATTGTCGATATCGTCGTCGATGTCGTTCGTCTTGACATGCGCTCTCGGGTCATAAATCGTAAGCGTGTTCACGTGTGTGAGTGTGTCTCTCCATTTGTGTGTATTTAGTCTTTCTCACTCTTTCGTGTGTGTGCATTAACATTTGCATTGCTCTCTCTTGTTGTTTCTGTGGCTTTGCGGCTTGCGGCGAAGTTTCGTAAAGAGGGGGAGGACAAGGAGACAAACAAAACATGAAAAGATAACAGCAAAAACTGCATATGCACAAAATTTGCATCACCAGGCGGCAGCAGGGGGAAAGAAAAGGGATGGTAATATAGGGAAAGCTACTAAAGACAGAGCCAGAGCTTTCCTAGAGTTAAGCTTTGAATATAAATTGAGGAATGCTGGTGGGTAGAGGAGGACAGAGACCTAGAGGGGATCATAAGCCATAGTAAAATCGAATGGCAAAGCTCTGCTTGAGCTTTACCTTTGCTTAAGTCAAGCTTTCAATGTAAATTGGAAGCGAAATTAAGCTAAAGAAAGAGAAACGACTAATTGGGTGTAATCCTTATCGAATAAGAGGGGAACCGAACGCTCCTTCATCGCCTGATTGTTGGTCTGAAAGAGATTTTCACAAACCAAGGAAGAACTTCCTCGGAAAGGAAGTAGCGTAGCTCTACCCATGAAATATGTATTCTTCCCAATCAAATATTTGCATTATTATGAAATATTCGTTGTATTCTTTTCCCAAGGCATAACTAAACCAACAAACAGACCCCACAACACCTCTCCACACTTCAAAAACTCCAATTAGAGAGCTCCCGCAATGCTAATTGCTGTGAGATTATTCTGCTCTCTCTCTCTCTCTCTCTTTCTCACTCGTACTCCACCTTCACTATCATTCACCTCTCCTTTTTCAACTTTTGTTTATATTTTTCATTAAATACTGAAAGTTTTTGAGAAGATGATCAAACCATTTGGTATGGTATGTATGTTTTATAGTTAAATTGATTTACGATACGAAATTAGTCAATAGAATCCACAGACAAACAAACAAACAAACAGCAAGCTGCTGGCAGCACACATTTCGTGAGTGCCAGGAACATAAATCAAGGCGTCTCTTGGGATCAATCTCTCGCCCTCGACTTTTGGGGGCAGCCCGAATGGAATATCATAAAAATGAAGCTTGAACAAAATTTTGATTTTTATGAGCTAATTGGCCATTGGACGTGGATCTATGGCAGGTAAACGATTTCTTATAAAATTATACATCTTTCAGTGTGGGACGGAGATACTTATACATGGAGATGGAGAAAAGTGCGAACCGCACGAGCTGAAGGTAGAGTTTGACATAAAGACAATGCACAGCTCTGTGCTTCGGAATGTGTCGAGGAGGATCCGGGAGATTTGGGAGAAACCCCAAGAAGCAGCGAAGGTCATCCGAATTTCAGAGGGCAAAACACAGAAATTGATTAATGTATGACTAAGAATTTGGAATAAGCAATGGAGGTATCTTATAGGTGTGTTTTATAGAAGCGAAATTCCAGATCTCCTATACGACTATAGTATGATTATTTCCTTTGCAACTTTTACAGAAAAAAAGTTCTCTATTAAAATTCCCCCTTTTTTGGGACAAGCAACGAATCAATATCCGACGGAAAATTCTGGATTATTTTTGCAAGATCCAATCAAAATTATATCTAACAAAAATGAACTTTTGATGAACACTTACCGGGTTGGGGTTGCGCTGGATATGCGGGCTTCTTCATCCATTCGTAGTACTGCGGTTTCTGTGGCGATGTTCGATTGTTGTTGTTATTTACAGAGACACTGTTGTTGTTGTTGTGGGTGGATGGACTGTTGTTGTTGTTGCCAGAAGGACCACTCAGATGGTGGCCAAGATGGTGATGCGGCGACGAGGCCGATGTGGGTGCACCAGGACTGGAGATCTCACTTCCCGAAACGGTAATCGGTGGCGATGGCAGTCCTTCGGCTATGTGCTGCTGCTGCTGCTGGGAGTGATTGGGCGGTGCCTCGGCGCCCAGACTGCTGTTCGTCTCGTTCAGCTGCGTGCCACCCACAGTGGGTCCCGGTCCACCGGCGGAACTGCTGCCCGAGCTGGCGGAACTGCTGGATCCGGCACTGGCCAGACCGCCACCCACATGGGCATGATGCTGCTGCATCAGTTGGTGTGCCGATGCGGGTACATTCTGGACGAAATTGTCGGCCGCCGCCGAGCTGGAGGCGGGTGAATGCCAATCCCCGGCCGCTGCCGCCGAGTGGAACATGTGATGGGAGTTGTAGTACATCTGATGGGCAGCGGCGGCATGATGGGCCGCATGCGACGAGTCCACATCGCCCAGGAACTGGTGATTCGGCGGCGTGTGATAGTTGGGCGTCCAGTTCCAGGGCTGGCCGGCGGCGGAGGCATAGGCCAGATTGGCGGCACTATGCTTTTGCGTGTAGGGCAGTGTATTATAGTAGTGTGAAACCATTTTGGCGACTGGACCTCTCTCAATTTGAGGTTAAACGCGATTGTTGTTCTTGCTCTGGACCGGCTGTGATGTCACGAGTCCTCCACCTGTATGGTTGACTTAATCCTTAAAGGTTTTCTAAATGCTTTTTGTTCTGTTTTTGTTTTACAAGTAATTGCACATTTTCTCAAGTTTATTTGAGCATCCGTATTCCGTTAGCTTCCACTTTGAGTCTCACTTTTTCGCTGATCTTCCTTTGCACTCTCTTTCGCTCTCTCACACACACACGCACTCTGCTCCCGCACTCAAGCTTGCAATTTGCAGCGCTAATCGATTGTGGTTTGAAGTATTTTTTCCGCGTAAATGTTGGTATTTTTGCACTCACTTTCGCGCTGGTTGGTATCTCAGGCTTTGTGGTTATTTAATTTCTCCGTTGCGTGCTGCCGTGTTGCGACGTTAAGAGCAACTGAAAGCAAAGCAAACGCAACTGATAAAAAACCCCATGGAAAGGCAGTCGTCCCACCACATCGGCCCACAGACACCAGTTGTCTCGCTCACACCCAGGCACTCTGCCATAAGGTGGTATTTTTTTAACCCTCATTTCCGTTGTGTATTCGAAATTCAAGATGGCTTATGTTTGGTTGCCCGCTTGGTCTCTTTCTCTTCGGCCCAGCTGCTGTCTCGCTCTGGCCCTGCGATGGCTGGCAGGTAGACCACGCCTCTCGGTGTTGCAGGCAGGTAAAACCGTGTAAGCCATGTCTGTGGATGGGTTCAAGAAAAGGGGTTTTCTTCACCTTTTACTTTACAAGCCGCATTCGATTTGTACTTTAATCGCAATTGCCGTTGGCCAATTAAGTAATTGCATGCTGTGTATTATGCAATTAGTGGATATAAAATCATATTTCTACGACCATAACCAGGGGGATTTCATTTCATTTATGCTGTATGTAGTTTTATTTGACTTGAACAAACATCTCGAATGAAAGGGATTTCCTATTCTTTTTTACCACTCCCCCAAGTGCCAATCAATGCTTTACTATTCAGATTTGAGAGTTTTATAGGCATATACTTGTACTCTCCATATATAGTACTTTTGTATTATCGTATTTGATATGGCGTAGTGTTTGCTCCATTGTCCAGATATTTGTTATTTGTCAAGCAATTGTCGTTTATATGGGCGCCTCTACGATTATATGACTTGGGCTCTAATTGCCCTATAATTGTTATAGTCAGAGAACTGCCTATGGATCGGCTAGGATACTGACAAGGTGGCACGTTTGTACTTGTCTGGGGGTTAAAGTGGTCTGCAACTGAAGGGCTTCGATAAGAAGCTATTCTTAATCGTCTAAATATACGATAGTTATTGTGCTTTTACCCTGAGGATCGAACAGTTTGTATTCTAACTCAGTAGATTGCTTCTTGCTGAGCTTCTGAAGGTTTACAAAAGGTTTATTTGAATTGACGACCAAAAGAACGTATGTTATTTTGAAGAGATCTTTATTCTGCATGCAACAGACCTTCATATATCTTTAAACAATTTAGTTAGATTCTATTATAAAAATAATATTAAACTATTTATTGCACTGAATTCTTTTTTTAATTACAATACATTATATACATATGACGAGTTAAACATTAGATTCTTGAATATCTAAAGTCGAACTTCCTTAACACAAGTTTCAATATTCAGGAGAAAGATTCAAATTAAGAAATTAGAATTCATTTAGATAACGTAAAAACTAGATTTTCTTTAAATCTATACCATCGTTTAAAGACATCAAGATGCCATCTGGAGGCCTTGTTGTTCTGGCTACAACTATATTACATATTATAAATGAAAAATAAGAAAATATTATGATACTTCTGAGGGTACTTTGGGCTAGTTTCATGCCGATCATCCTCCATCCGTTTTACACAAACTTTTAGAGAACTGCTAAGATATTAAATGACCGAGATCAAAGGAAATCTAGATCTAGAAAACCGTTACAAAACCCCACCGAATCTACCAGTTTATCGCTAATCCTTATATCGTTTTTCTCAGAAAAGTCAACTCCCTCGCTAATCCCAAACACAAAAAGATCCTTACTCGCGCCGATTGAGTAATCCCAAGCAATTCCAGAAATTCGAGAAGGATCTTTATAAAAAATACATTCATTGATCATTCAAGATCCCCGATCGTAAAACTGCAAATGTCGCGTCAAATAATTAGAAATGAATACAGCTGTGACAATGGAACCAAGGATGGTCTATGGTCAGGAGCAGCAGGACCAGGAGCAACAGCATCGACAGCCGTTGGCCTCGCGAGTTATGGGATGTACTTAAAATTCACTTATTAACGCTAGCGAAGGAGAGTGATGTGATCTACCAGAAACTGGTTCGGTTCGAGGATCATCGTGTCCAAACAAAAAACCCCTTAGTGCCCGTAAAGACAAAACATTGTAAAACAATTGAAAGGGCCGGTAACAAAACACAAAGTTTTATGATTGCGCGAACGCGACCTAGAGCAGGAGGACACGATCGTAACGGTTTTCGGGGACACCAAACAAGGCTCATACAGATACAGATAGATGGGCTGCGTTTGGGTTGGGTTGGGATCGCATCTGATCGGGCTGAGATCATAAAGTTCACACAACAATTAGGCACAGCCACAGCCCAGATTTTTGCTTCGCTTTTTTTTCGCAAATATCGTCAACAATTCGAAGGAATTTACTGCGTGGGCTGGGCCAGGCAACGGGTAGGGCAGGGGCCTGGTTCTGTGAGGTGAGGTGAGGTTCAAAACGGTTTCTGTTGGGTTGTGTCAGGCACGGGCAAGTCATGTAACAAGGTAGAAGGTTACCTGGAAGTCATTAGGGGCTTACAAAGGCTAATCCGAAAGGGAGGTATGTATGTACATAAACATATGCCCAGTTCATTCTAGTTGAGTTCTAGATGAATCAAACGTTTCGAAAGATCATTTTAAACATAAAGTAGCATCATATACATCATACATATTTAATAATGTATCAATTTTGTATAGATTAGGGTCAGAGTCTACCAGTTGCTTATACTTTCCTTATGATGTGTACAGAACTATCAGTCAAAATATAAACCATCTCCATTTAAATTAAGTTTGTATTATTAAACAACTATTTATATTTTTCTGGCTTATTTTAATCCATCTTTTTACTCAACATAAGCGCCTAATTTAGCATCTCTTTTTCTAAATCAGAGTCTTATTAAGATCTCAAGAAAGGACCTATACGGTCGTCTTCAGCTCTGTAGCTATCGGCATATTTGAACAAACAAATGCATATTAATCCGATTTTCCTTATGATTACTGAGACGTTTTTCTGCTTAGTTCTCTCCTACTTCAAATCTCTAAGATATATCAAAGAATCCTTCTCCTCTGTTTATTAGTAGGCTATCAAAACCACTCCCTGCATCTACCCTAAGATACGTTGGCCAACAAGGTTATAATTTCAGCATAGATCTGTAGATATATTAATCAGATCCCTTATATATTAATATTTCCCTTTAATTTTCTCTATCTATCCTTCTATTTTCTGTCCTATCTGAAGTGAGGTATAAATGTCAGCTATGCTTATAGTTTAGATATGAATGAACCAATGGTTTCTTCAAATCTTTAAGATATGTATATCAAAGAATCCTTCTACTCTGTTTATTAGAAAGCTATGAAAACCTCTTCCCTAAATTACGACAATCGAAGGAAAATGGTTTTTAAATACATACATAGTGAAATTAAATAAACTTTAATTGAACACGGCCCATACACTTACAAATTAATATAAATTTTAAATTTGAATAATCTTTTTGTCTGTGAGCACGAAAATTGATTAAATCATTACAACTATCTAGGGAATACTAGCATTCAGTTTATAGTTTCCGAAAAATCAAGAGATTTACTATGAATCATTTCCATGAATTAAAAATCCTTTTAATGCAGGTCCATTAATCTATTGATCTATCCTAAGTGATGACCGATCCTCAGGGAATTATGCCACACTCAACCTTTCCCGGTTCCAATAAAAACTGATCTATGATCTCTAAAACACTCTAATGCATCTCTATCCAATCATCATAAATTAGAATCTGTCCCTTGTGGAACATAAACAGATTGTAAAGAACTCAAAAAAAATATTTATATATTTTTCTTCAATTATGTTAATAAATCCATAAAGAAAGCAAAGCAAGCGCCATGTCCAAGCATGTCCCATAAAGCAGACTCCAAAAAAATAAAACTCGAGAGGCAATCAGGTCCCAGCCAGATATGACCAGGGCACAACTGTCGAACCAGAGCCCAACCAGATATTATAACGAATATACATATGTAGAACGTATAACGAATAACGTATTTACCGTCGCCAGACTATGAACGATGACAGATGGAATGGAATGGCTTTGTCGTGCGGCATTTGCTGTTTGTCGGTTCGTTTAACGTTTTGGAGAGTTTTATGGCCATTGGCCACGACCAACCCCACACCCCGCACACTCCTTCCATCTCTCATACGAGCACTGTCCCCCCCTCCAACCACAGGGCAAGTGCATTTTGTGCGTTGTAGAAGGTAATCGTACTACCTCCAGCACCTCCATAGAGCTTTATGGGTGCCGCGACATTAGCGATAAAATATCTTTGTTAATAAAACAAATTAAAACGAATAAGAACGAAACGCGACGAAATACAATTGTGGGGAAAACCCAAAAGGTATTTTTGGATTTCGAAATGATAGCCAATGGAATAGGGTTTTCCTAAATAGAAGTTGCAGACTTTAATCAATCATTAAAACATTCTTTGCACTACGGATTATATTTGATTTTGGTAAAATATATTTTTTATTTTTCAAAATGTATTTCTACGATTATCATTGTCACAAAAAATAGGCATAAATTAACAATTTGTTAAGTGTAGCGCGAAAGGTAAAAATAAACACGATTTAAAAAGTTCCACTTAAAAACAAATTAAATACAAAAGGAATTTCATTTCATTTAGATATCATCACACATCGAGTGCCTCGAAAACGAAGTGCACAGCAAAATGATGGAGAAACATGCCACAGCAGAACGACAGGAAGAACCACAAAATAAAGATAGTTTGTTGATAGTTTTCCCCCGACTGGTCTCTCAGTTTCTAGCATAAGAACAGGCAACATATACCGATTTATCAGTTTCAGTAGTAAAAGCGTATAAAAATATATAATTTTTTTGTCGTTTTGGGGGTAGTCAAAAGTTGGTTTGATTTCGATTTGAGGCATTTGCTGATTTGTGAACTAGAATGGGCATAACATTTCTTGAGAAAGTTGAGTACAATTGTAGGATACAGTCTTATACAAGGTTATCATTTGTGATTGATTCGATTGATTAATGAACTTAATTTTTGCTTTTTAATTGGATTCAGACATTGGGACTAATATGGCAGGCCATTTAATTTTAATAAATTAATAATTCATTTTTCAATCAGGTCTCAAAAGTGTTATTTAACTAATTTAAATGAATTTGGATTTTAATTTGCATACAAAACTGATATTTATAAAGGTTTAAAAGAATGATGCCAATATGGAAATAGATTTAAGTAATTTTAATTTCATTTTAGTTTAAATAAACATAGATTTAAGTTCTTTGATTCAATAATATTTGCATTCCATAATAAAGACTGAATAAAGTAGACAAAGAATACTTGTTAGATACAGATTAAAACGTAACTTTAGATTTCTCGATTTAAAAGTAGTGAAAAGACAGTCTTAAAAAAAGGCATTAGATTTGTTTTAGAAATTATATAGAAACAAAAATGAACTATTTTCATTATAGTTCTTCGTCTTCTTATTCCTCATGGATCACATATTAAACAAAAATGTTCAATTATTCTTTAGAATAGTAAAAATACACAAATTTATCTTTTCGTTAAAAATCCTCAAATAGAGATATCTAATCAAGTGTATAGATAGCCCTTGTAGAAGGCCTTAGTTTAATGTAGAAAAATGTTTCCATTTTGTGACTTGAAAAACTTTCAGCAATGCTTCACATCATTTAAATCGATTCTCCAACGAGAGCTACCGCCCAGAGCTTATTTAGTACTTTGCGGCTTTGTTAAAATAGATATCTTTGCTTTAGCTAACTCCACCCGTACACATGCCAATCGAATTGATATGTACACAAGGCTACACAGATACGGATACGGATACACAGATATACAGATACAGATGTACATGGCTAATGTCTTAGGCCCTTAGATCGCTACAGATGTCTATTTATATATGTACAGAGAAGGAGGGAGGAGGGGGAATTGCTTGTGTATGTGTGTGGGTGGGTGTCTGTGTCCAAACTACGCCGAGCCGAGCACCTCGTTCAATATCATCTCGCGGGTCATTAGCTGGCCATTATTTACTCGCGTCCGGGATCGACTGCGACTGAGTTGTGCTCGTCGCTCGGCCCCCGCGGGTCGTTGTCTGCGCGCCTGTCGATTGCGCTGGCCAAATGCCGAACCCGTTTGCAGCGCCTCCAGCAGGCTGTCCATGACGCCCTCCTGCGCCTGGGCCGCATCCATGTCGACCAGGGCACGCTTCTGCTGTTGTCGGGCCATTTGTTCGCGGGCCGACTGTTCGCGAGCCTCCTGCATGCGCTGCTTCTTCTCCTGCTCCTCGCGAGCGCGCACATTATCGTTGTGGGCCGACTTGAAGGCATCCTTGAAGGTCTTGATGTCGGCAAAGAACTCCTCCATGGTGTACTTGATGGGATCGAAGGAATAGTACTCGCTCAGGTCTTTATAAAGCTTCTCCATTTGCAGTTGCATTTTTCCTGAAAATTGAACGAAATTGTATTATCTATGAACAAGTTGTTGGAGGGAATCCCAAGACATACCCAATACATCGACTTGCTGTCTGCATTCCTCAGCAAATTTACCCATCACTTCACTAAACTTGTCATCATCGCATTGCGGGACTTTGTTGTTCTGCAAATCCGTTTCCAGATTCTTTACCGCCGAATTCATTTGCCTCATTGCCTTCTGTATGGCATCCATATTCACACGCGACGCCCTGTCCACATGCGACAGATCGCTGTAAAAGTTGAGGGCATCGGGGAATTTCTTTTCCACGAGATCGGCCAGATAGTGGAGCAGCGTCTGCTTGTTTTCCGCATCCTTGGTGTTGGTCAATTTGGTCAGGTAGCTGATCTCAAAGCCAAAGGCAGCTTCGTTCTTGGAGCCCGAGTTCATGTAGTTGCCCAGCAGGAGTATCAGTTCCAGGATCTTGGAGAACTTTTTGCTGTTGCGCACCTCCTCGCAGGCTGCTGTACCGGCCACAATATCGGGTTTGATATCCGTCACCATGTCCGCGTAAGTCAGCTTGAAGTTCAGGTTGTGAAGGCGCGGCGACAGGCGTTTGATTTCACCTAAAAAAACGGAATGATTCTTAGATGGTTGTGTTCTTCTAAAGCAGATCCCCACTTACCTATGGTTGCTGCAAACTGTTCAATGGGCGGTAGTGGTTCTCCCTTTGTTTTGATCTCCTGCAAACGCTTAAGCTGCTCTGGCGGCGGCAGATACTGGATCAACTGCTGCAGTATATTGGAGGACATTATGGCCGTATCGCAGCGCAGCAGACAGATCTTGATCTGCTCGTATGACAAATGCTTGAGGGAGCCACCCAACAGTATGGCCAGATTCTGGGCGGATTTCGAGTCGAGTACACGCAGATCGATCGTCTTTTTGGTCAACGTTGTCGGCTTGTCCACCGCATCCTTTTGCTCTTTCTTCACGGGCTTTGAGGAGAATTTCATGGCCAGTTCTGCGAGGAAATCATCTTGGGCCAGCTTATCCTCCTGGCACTTGACCCAGAACGCCTTCTCGGACATTTTGGCCGGCACAATGGCCTTCCAGTTGGCCCGCTTCATAGGATTCTTTACGTCCCACTTTTTTTTGGGCTTCAGGCCGTGCGGCAGCACGGGCACCATGGGCCCCATCATCATGGGGGGCGGAGGTGGACCTCCAGGTCGCATCATGCCAGGCATCATGGGTGGTGGCGGTGGACCACCACCCATTCCGGGCATAGGCGGCGGGGGTGGAGGTCTGGGTCCTCCCATGCCAGGCATTGGCGGTGGTGGCGGAGGGCCTCCCGCTTGACCCGGCATAGGAGGCGGCGGCGGTGGCGGTGCTCCTCCTCCACCAGGTGGTGGCGGCGCCATTGGTATATTAACTTTCGGTAGCTTATTGGGCGATGGAGCGGCCACACCATTGGCCTCCATCAGCTTGACCTTCTCCTCGAGATGTGCGGCCTTGGCCTCAGCCTCCTGCTTGGCGCTCTCTAGCTCCTCGATCTTCTTCTCGTACTCCTCCGAGCGCTTCGACTCCTTGGCCTTGGCCTTCTCCACAATATCGTCCAGCAGGAGCGAGGTGTCAATGTTAAAGTCGCGATTGGCAAAGTTCGGATCACAGTAGCCCTTGTGGAAGACGATCTGCGAGATGCACTCTTCGATCAGTTGATAGTAGGCGGGTCGGAAGTAAAAGTCGTCGCGGATGTACAGCAGATGCTGCAGAATGGACAGGAAGTACGGCTCCGAGTTGGTGTCCGTGATGAGGTTCTTCAGCACATCGAAGCAGTCCTGGGCATCATCCATGTTGAAGGTCACATTATCGAACCGCTGCACGAACTCCTCAAAGTCATCCTCCCGAATCTCGTTGAAGATCTTAAAGTGTTGCTGCAGGGCCTCATTGTTGCTGGACTCCACGATCTTCTTGAACTCATCGAGACGATCGTACAGCCCCATTCGCATGATCTCGCACCTCAGATGCAGGCGAAAGTTCAGATCCGTGGGTGTGTTCGTCAGCGTATTGATGAAGATCAGACTGTGGCAGGCCAGCTCTCGCTTGGGATCCTGCTTGTCCGATGCAAACAGTGCATCCACAATCGGTCGGAAGCGTTCGCTGGACTTGTACGATGTGGCTGCTATCGTGGTGATGGCTCGCAGCACCTTCTCGTAGCCATTCCGCTCGTAAACGATGCAAAAGGAGGCCAACAGCTTGAGGGCCTCGCACATGGTCTGCGGCTTGCGGGGATCGAGAGATTGGGCCAGCAGCAGGACCACACTGTGCTGATCGGGCACGAGCACCACATTGAGACCCCACGTGTTGTTCATGATCGCTTTGAGGCATCGTATCGCCTCGAATTCGATGCGATCGTAGGTGCGATCCTTCTTAGCTCTCGACAGAAGCTGTTCGATCTGTCCGATGCCCGCCTCCCCAAACTCCTTGATCCACGAGATGGGATTGCTGGTGAGGGCCACGCGCAGCGATTCCACGCACTGGTAGACCTTATGCTCGCTGTGCTCCCCATTCTGCAAGTAATCCACATAGTCGATGGGCTTCTCGAAGCGGGAGTGCGTGTTGCGCTCCAGTGAGTTTTTGCCTGGTTGAATAAAGTTACAGATGCAGATACAGAGATTTTGGTTTAGTATGGCTTTAGAATATATCGAGTGGGTTGCGTATCTTATCAGAAAAAGCTCGTAATTAAATCCCATCAACACGGAATGGATGATTAATCGAATGACCTCATACTTTCACACAATTTTTGCCGAATCATAACTGATTTGATAAGAATACGAGTACATCTATATGCATACCTATGTACATATATCTAGTTAGAGCATCAATATCTGTGTTGCAATAACTTTATATTTGTACAGAAGATACCTCTGGTGCCTCTTAGAGTTCCATTCCACTGCGTTCCCACAGGACATACTCGTATATTGTGATAATCAGAGGGTGACTCACTCCTCCTTATCTTTTGGCCCCCTCTAATGTATACGACATACTTTTTTAACACACTTCTGTACGAGTACGACTACAAAGTACAAGTAAAGTGGAAACTTGATAATAAGAACTTTTAGCTATCTATTCCGTATACGCTTTTTCAATTTAGGCATGCACACGATGTATTTGGAAACTCGGATCCGAGCCTCGACCGCGACACTACGTATAAGAACTATCATAATTACTTTACTAGTACCTTCTTCTGTTTGCTTTTTATATACATTCCTAGACCATACCTTGATCTTGGAATTATGGCTCGTAAAATAATCTCAAAATTCCAATTGAAAGTCATCATATATATACAGAATGTAATTACGAGACATGCACGCGAAATGCAATCTTTTATTGATTCTTACAATAAATAGAAAGCATTGTATCGCTCAGAATGTATAGTATTTCATAACGTAAACACATTTAAGTTATACCCATAAAATAATAATCGTGATGGGTATCAGTTAGTCTTCTGAGTATTTTAGCTAGCTATACATCCGTATAAATCTGACCATGTAAGACTATGCTATTTCGAGAACACTAAATCTATAAAACTTCCCTAGAATATAACTTCCATCTGTGGAAGCTCCACTGTGTAACTGTGTTATCGCAAAAAACTTGTTGGGCAAATTAAACCTCGAACAATCCACAATATCAGCCTTGAAGAGAGGGGACCTTCTCCTAAACACCACACCCACCGCAACCATTCCACTAAATATGCAATATCCGAAAAAAAAACATTTAAATTGGCCCTCCCCCATGGCAAAAGCAGCAGCACACACACTTGATATGGATACAAGTGGCCTCAGTAGAGCCCCCGAAGTACTCGCACACTAACTGTTTTATTAATTAACTCCGAGAGCCAACCGAAGCGTGTTAATGAACGGATTTCAGCTGTTTGTTGGCCATCATCATCATCCAGTCAATCCGTTTTTTTAGCTTTCAGTTCATTTCGCAAACAAGTGGCAGAAGCTGCCTAGAAGCGGCAGGTGGCAGTACGGGCCGGGGGGTATGGTTCTGCCACGATAAACACGACCCATAAAGAAAAAGTCTACTTTATATTCGGTTATTTATTGTTTACTTGAATATTCCATCCCTCCCCCTTACGACCTGTAGATCCCCACATCCACACTTCATGTAGATCTGCAGCTCCACCTCAAGTCTGGTGATTATTGGCATCATCATCATTATTTATTTTAAGCCGATTTTGTCATAAATTTACTTAACGTTTTCATATACTCGTTCAAATATGCATAGCATTTTTATGGTGGAAAAATTCTACAAAAATATTCACTTTTTCAGAACGTTTGGATTTCTCGAATATAAGATACCCTACTACATAGTATTCAATCTAAAAAAAATCCCCCTCATTGGCCAAACTCATGACTAGGCTTCGTCATGCACACGACTTATATTTTGTTTTTCGATTATCAGCCATTCTGCTTTGAAATTTTCTCTAATGCGTCTGCTGTTGAAGAACAAATAAGAAGCAATTGCAAGCCATAATAACTAGGAACTAGCTAACTAGGAATAACTAGGAAGCAATAATTATTGCTTGTATTACCAGGATTCAAAAAACAATAACAACAAAAACTGATTTTTTTTTTCTTCAATGACCATTTTTCCTATTCTTTTCTTAAGTATTTTCTCTGTATACCACAGAACTTTTTTATTTAAATTTTCGAAAACGGATGTGGTGGTGAAAGTCGATGTGTTTCTGTCTCTGGTATATTCTTCAGGTATTACAGAAATATGTCATGCAATACCTTATAGAATTATAGGTAAACGCTTTCTTCTGACTCTAACAAGAACTTAAACGAATGCAATATACCCTTTCACTGTCCAAATACCGGGTACAAGCAGTGAGAAAATTCAGAGATGACAGAAGAGAGACAGAAGTCAGCACAATGCTAAATCATTCTGTCATATACGAGGTTCACCTTGTTCTGGTCTGGCCTGGTCTCTCTCCCTCAGTCTCCCTCTATTTTGGATGCACTTGCTCATTAGATTACGAGCACCCATGGAGAGCACAGAGCAGCAGCCCCGGCAGCAAGTGTATATGCCACATTCACGCGCCTGACACTTGACGTAATTAAAATTGTATAATATGCATGGGTACATTTTTAATTTTCAATGTCTTCGTCGTACGCTCAAAATATGTATATTTTCCATACGACTTTATGTCACGCATTCGCTCGTATGCTTTTACGAGAACCGATGTACGACTATATTTGGTATATGTATATAATATTTGATAAACAAAAAAGGGAGAGAGCGGAAAAACGAATGAGAAGAAGTACAGTGCTGTCAAGGTTAGCGCACAAGTAACCGTTACAAACGATAAGAGAGAGCAACTTTGATTGCGTCGAGAGCATTTACTTTGAGGCTCTAACCTGATAATGGACCATGGGCCATGGGCACCACATGGGCAATTAACTGGAGCGAGACGCGACGAGACGAGAAGAGTTTTCTGTTGATGTTGGCATTGAGAACATATCTTCAAGATACGAAATGAGTTCGTTACAGTGGTAATTGCTTTTGGTTCATAAATAATTGTGCAGGCTTAGAGGGAGAATGGGAAAACTGATGAAGGAAACACAGCAGATCAACATGGATTCAAAGTGGAAATGAAGTATAAAAAAGATTACAAATTAAAGGAAACACTTATATAGGGAATGGAACCTTTAGATATTCCTTCAGGGCTATTTTTACTATAGATTTTTTGATGGAATGTATAAGCTAATTTCTGTATGAAATATTTAATGTGAAATTTTAGACTTTTCTTGCTTTTCTAGATATTTAATCCACGCTTATAAAATTACCAAATATCTTCCAGATCTGGCATACAATAGCCATACTCGTTTCCTTTTTTTTTTTTCGTTTTATATCGCTTTTCTGCCTACTGATACTCTTTAAAAAAGTCCTTGAAAAGTGCAAAAGAGAATGCCCTATAATCCAAAAAGAAAATATTGACTGATGCTATATATGATGCACCTGACGATGATATACTGTTCTGATTCTATTTCATATACTACCTTCTTCCAAATACCAAATCTGTGCCAACTTTTAGCGAGATATTTTTAAAACTGGGACATTATTTTGTATAGACAAAAAATTGCACCATTCCCAATAGCAGATCGTTGACATCATGTTCATCACAAAAGCCGCTAAATAGCGATATCTCGTTAAAAAAAAAAAAGAAAATTCAACTGGAGACAAGTACGAAGCAAATTGGCAAATAAAACAAAGGAGAAACAAACAGAGAACAGCAGAGACAGCAGAGAAATTTCACGAGAATCAGACAGACTGCATACAAACACGCACTCCGATAACCACACGTACAAATATCCGTAGAGACCCCCGTAGATACCGTTACCACTAGGTCTTTTGGCTAATCTTATCAGAATGGAATGCAATAAACTTGGAAACACACACAACACAAGGGAGAAAGGTGGAAAGGAAGGGTGAAACGAAAAGTCGATTCGTTTACCTTTTAGGTGCCAGAGTATCATCTTTTGACGCTCCTCCTTGGACTTGGCCAGCAGCGGTTCCCGCTTGTCCTTGGGTATATTCATATCCTCGATGATTTCCAAGAACTTGGCATCCACCTGAGCCTCGCTCAGCTCCTGAATGTAATGCTCCACATCCTCGACGCTCAACACGCCCTCATTGTCCAGAGAGGTGGGCCGTCCGCCGTGAGTCAGAGTGCCGCTATTGAAGCTATTGCCTTTCGACTTGGACGGTCGTCCAAACCAGGTCTCCAGTATGCCACCACCTGTGGACTTTGTTTTCTCATGACGAGACATTCTGGAATTATTAAAATAGTCACAAATTAATATTTAATTTATGGTAAGGAAAAACGTGAGCAGACCCAAGCTTCTTGAGACGCATTTTGCCGACAAATGGATTTATTGCTTTTTGTTTTTGTTTTTTTGGGACATGCGCAGGTCCCCACAGCTGTTCTTTGTTTACAGTTAGTTACAGAGAGACAGAGAGAAGAGAACTGAATTTGTCGAGCTGCAGAAACCGATTGATGATGGGTTTGCTCCGACGAATGCAATCGATGATGAGAGATGGTGCACGGACGGTCGATGGTGGAGTACGATTTTGTGGGGGGAATGGAGTGGAATCATTATCAGTTTGTGGTTTATTTACAATTATCTGGGGAGGCACAGTCCCCCCACCACCACATCCTCGATCTCTGAACATCTCGCATCTCAGTGTGGAATTTTCAATTAGCATGTAAATAATGAGAGGGAGGATGGGACCAGAGAGCACATGCACAGGCTTTCGGTGGCTCATTCGAAGCGTGAAAACTGCCGGATTAAAATCATAAACAAAACAAAAACTCGAAAATAAACCAAAGCAATTAGATAAATACACACATTAATAATCGCGCAAACTAATTTTACAAAATGATGTGATGATGATTGGAATCGTGTCGAACCAAAATAGGAAATTTCAACAGGAGAGACTATGCTACAGCCTGATTATTCGGCTATGGCTTACCCTATGATTACATTACTTATTAATAATAGTTGACCTTAATGTGATTAAATAGATGTGAGAAACGTATGTCAAGATTCTTAAGAGATATGCCTGGACATCGTAATTTAAATAAATCTCAATCTATAGATAAATCTATACCAAAAGGCTACCTTCTACATAAAACCAATGTACCCTTTTTTTTCTAAGAATCCAGGGTACAGAGAGAGGGCAAACCGTGTGTTAGCTCGAGAGAGGTAAATATGAATGTTTATGGCTGATATTTGTGCGTGTGTGTGTGTGTGTATGGGTAATTGTGTGAATCATGCGGTTAGGCCAAAATGCAAGCTGTTAAGATTTGAAGTGGCTGGCCTCCATTCCCGAGGATCGCCTGGGAACGAATGCTTAGACAACACATCCATCTAATGAATCATTAATAGAATCGAATCACATCATCGGACCGGAGTTCGACGCAGAAATAGAAGTATGTCGATGTAGCAGAAAAAGGTAGAGACGATCAACAGGTTTGGTGGATTCCACTTTTTATACCCTTGAATCGCGTTGTCTTATGATTTTTATTAGAAGTTTGCAACGCACAACTGCAAGGGTATCTAGAGCCTTGATTCCAGTCTTCCATTCCTCTTTTATGGGCGTGCAAAATGTACGCAAATCATTCACAATTGTCAAGCTTAAATCACATTTAATGCCAATGTGAATGATGTGCTTGACAAAGTGTGGCTGTGTGTTTGTGTGTGCGTGAGAGAGTGTGGGAAGCCAGCGCTCGAGCGTCCACGTCGAATGGCAGAGTGGAGCGACAAGTTCATGCCAGGGCAAAGCAAAGCAAAGCACCATTTCTTTTCATGTCTAAGCATGTGCGGAGGAAATGCTTTCAACAAGTTTCTTTTGCTTAAGAATTTTACCGAGCCGGTTGCTGTTGCAATTGCCTCATGTCCAGCAGAGCAGGGGGGTTGCGTTCCGTCTGTGGAATCTCTTTCTCTAGTTTGTTTACACGGCTGCACTTTCTGCATTGGTGTGTGTGTGTTTGTTTGTGTGAATAGTTCAGAGGCCGCTGCAGCAGACACAAAACCAAAGCACAATAAAAAGAAACGTCTTTTGCTACCCTTGCGGAACCAAAATTTCTATAACTACATGTATGATTCAGTGAACAAACAGACAGACGGGCATCGACCCCAACTTTTGATCAAACATCAAAATCATCATCCAAATGGGTATACCCTGTTGTACCCTAACATTAGACGAAATGTAAACAAGCCCTAGCACGATAAAGGAAGCCTCTTTTCCATTCCAAATTTGAAACGGGCCTGGCAATGCCTGGAATTCCAAGAAAGAGGCAGTTCAAAAAAGCGTTTACAAACCGAGAATTCAAATATGCGCTCACCTTCGTTATATATTTATATATATATTTGTGTCGCCTGCTGCTCACTTTTGATTTTTTCGGTGGTTTACGTCATAAGACAGAAAAATAATGGCTTGGGGCACACATACACATAAACACACACAAACATACAGACACAATCAAACGGCTTTGCCTGCTTTCTGTTTGTACGCGGCGACGCCGACGTTGACGCTAACGTTAAGCTGCGCAAACCGCTTCAAACACAAAAAACACTTTTGCGTGGTAATTACTAACCAACTTTTGTACACTACACCCAAAATATTTGGTGTATGCCAAGTGGTGTTTTGCTTTTGCTTACTTTTTATTGCTGGCTTTTACTTTGATCGCTGGGCCACCACTTGTTGCTGTCCCGCCTTAGCTCACACATGAAATATACAACCAACTGTTGGCTCCGCTGTGCCGTATAATCAAACACACACTTGGCGAATCGTTATAAACAACTTAACACGTAATTTGTTGGCCTTTACTCTCAACAATACGCAAAAATTTATAAAATGCAAGCGCCATACAGCGGATCAGTGTGACTGGTTCATCGGATTTATCGAACCTCAGAAATATATCGAAATATACCATCTCATTTTAAAAATATACCGTAAATATACTGACGAATTACCCAAGTTGTACCAATATTCGTCGATTTTGATATTCGATTTGATATTACTATCTATATAGAACTCTCAGCACTGCCAACATAGTTTTATCCGATTAATGAATCAATTTTCTACTTGACTGTCTTATTTTAAATACTTGACTTGTTTTCCTGCTACGGCGATTGCTGTTTTTGATCCTCAACAACAATATACCATCTCGTTATGATGAAAAAACGAACTTAGCCATCTTCAGCCCCCTCTATTTAAATAGTTCAACTACTTCTACTACTACTACGTAAGAAAAACACGATATCTTTCACCTGAACCGCGCTAAATTTATTAAATTTGCATTATTTTCGGTGGAATATTAAAATAGCCCCTTCGCTAACAATGGGTTAATCGTTCTCCGTTAAGGAGAGAATTCGTTCATATTGCTCAATTTAGAGATTCCGTTGAATAATTCTGGCTAACTAAAACCCTTAGTTCTGCCCACATAATTTTAAGCCGTTGATGAATACATTTTCTACATTTCTACATTGGCTAGTTTTTATTCCTCGCTTTTATTATATTTTGGCTAAAACAAGGTTTTAACAAAATAGTTCAACAAAAAGACAGTTGCAATGTTGCTGGTATTTGAAGACATGATGTGTGTATAGGCCTTTGTACACCCTATTTCGTTAATTTTGTATGAAGATGAAACGCAATTTAGAAAGACCTATTCTCAAATTGATATGTTTTAGTCATATTCATGTATATATTTATCGAGATCCTAATACCTACGGAGCCTGGGATGACAAACATTTTCTCAATTGTATAATAATCTTTTCCCTAGGGTATGAGAATTAGTGTTGCCGGGAATTATTGTTGTCAACCGGTTATTACGGTATAACCATCTCGATTCCTCTTAAACCCTCTTAAAGAATTCCGCGATTCCTCTTAAACTCTCTTAAAGAATATGTTAACTTTTTTTGTCGCTCTTTCGAGCATCGCTGATAAATTAGTGTTGCCACATCTGCTCATCTGGCAGTCCCACTTTTTCAACGGGCTGGCAGCCTTCTTATATTTGAGTGTCATGTTGTTGGATGTTAGGATTTGTTGTTTAATTTGTTAAATTCAAATTAAATTTAAACTGATTGAATGGATCGTGATCGCGATTCCGACTCCCATGCCCGCAAGGGCAATCGTCCGCCCGGGCTGAAGGGCAAGGAAATTGGCATGTATTACCGCGACCTCGGTCGCCAGCGCGCGAAGGAGCGCGAGAAAATGAAAAAGGATGGCGGGCCGGACATGATTGAGCAGCCAAAAATCCGGCTGGGATGCAGTGTCACTGTGCCACGAGGCGCGCTGGAGCGCGTCAAGGAATTCATGCAGGCCTTCAACAAGACGCCCAGGAAATCCGACTCGCACTCGGATGTGGATGCGCAATTCGAGCTGCAGTTTCGTCACTTGCTGAGCGTCAATTTCCACCAGTTTATTGCCGAGAAAAAGCAGGAGAACAACACTTTGAACTACATCAACCAGAATTTGGATACGAAATTAATGGAGGAGCATCGAGAGCGCCTCCAGTCACCAAATATGCGTGAGCGCCTGCACGCACGTCAGCAGCTGCCGGCCATGAAGCATGCGGAGGAGATTATACGCGCCGTCCAGCAGAATCAAGTCATTCTCATTGTCGGCAGCACCGGCTGTGGCAAGACCACACAGGTCCCTCAACTGCTGCTCGATCACAGCATTGTCAAGGGCTGTGCCTCAGACTGCCGCATTATTTGCACACAACCGCGTCGTATTTCGGCCATCACGATTGCCGAGCGAGTGAGCTACGAGCGTGGCGAAAACCTGGGCCTCTCGGTAGGCTATCAGATACGCCTGGAGAGCCGCCGGCCAAGGGACCGGGCCTCCATTACGTATTGCACAACGGGAGTGCTGTTGCAGCAGCTCCAGTCGGATCCCCTGATGCACAGCCTCAGTGTGCTCATTCTGGACGAGATACACGAGCGCAGCGTGGAGACGGACCTTCTAATGGGCCTGCTGAAGGTCATCCTGCCGCACAGGCCCAACCTGAAGGTGATTCTGATGAGTGCCACCGTTCGAGAGCAGGATTTCTGTGACTACTTTGAGAACTGTCCCATGTTCCGCATTGAGGGGGTGATGTTTCCCGTCCGGATGCTCTACCTGGAGGATGTCCTCTCCCTCACCAACTATCAGTTCGAAAATTTGCGCACAACGAAAAAAAAGCCGAATCAGGAGCGTAAGGAGTCCTTAATGGCGCACGAAGCCATGATCCTGCCGTATGTGCGTCGCGTCCGTCACATGTACGATCGAAGGGTTCTCGACCAATTGCGCCTGCCCGAGTCGGAGGGCTGCGAGGACATTGATTTCATCGCGGATCTGGTCTACTACATCTGCGAAAACGAGCCAGAGGGTGCCATTCTGGTCTTCCTGCCCGGCTTCGACAAGATCTCCAAACTGAACAAAGCTCTGGAGAACCCCCAGGGTTCGTTCAAGGGCCAACGCTGGCGCCAAAGTCTAGTCCTTTATCCCCTGCACTCCCTGATGCCCTCCGTCGAGCAGCAGGCGGTGTTCCGTCGTCCTCCGGCCGGCAAGCGTAAGGTTATTATGTCCACCGTTATAGCCGAGACATCGGTGACCATTGATGATGTGGTGTATGTCATCAATTCCGGCCGCACCAAGGCTAGCAACTATGACATTGCCAGCAACATCCAGAGCCTGGACGAAGTGTGGGTGAGCAAGGCAAATACCCAGCAGCGCAAGGGTCGTGCAGGACGTGTAAGGCCGGGCATCTGCTACAATCTGTTCAGTCGGGCCAGGGAGGATCAGATGGCCGATATACCTACACCGGATATACTGCGCTCCAAGCTGGAGTCAATCATTTTGAGCCTGAAACTGCTGCACATTGATAATCCCTATGAATTTCTGGGCACTCTCATCAGTGCCCCCGAACAGGAGGCCATCAAAAACGGTGTTCTTCTCCTGATGCGGTAAGTTTGAATGAATTTCTAGTCAAATGATCATAAAAATTTAAATGATTTTTTTCAGCATTGGTGCCCTGGACAAAGAGGGCATTCTTACACCGCTGGGCGTGCATTTGGCGAAGCTTCCCGTCGATCCGCAAATGGGCAAAATGATGCTCATGTCAGCCCTATTCTGTTGCCTGGATCCCATCACCTCGGCGGCAGCGGCACTCTCATACAAGTCGCCGTTCTACACGCCCTTGGGGCTGGAGAGCCGTGTGGATCAGGTGAAACGGCAGATGGCCCACAACATGCGCAGTGATCATCTGATGGTGCACAACACCATTTGTTCGTATCGCAAGAGTCGTGGTGATCGCAACTTCTGTTATACGAATTATTTGAGCTACATGACGCTGCAGCAGCTGGAACGCATGAAGAATCAGTTTGCAGAACTGCTGTGCAACTACAAGTAGGTCAAAAGGTTTAATCCTTAAGCTTAGCATCCCCCTACCAATTCTCTCTATCCTTTGTAGATTTCTTAGTTCACCCAGCTTACTGGACAAGTCATCCAACATTAATTCGGACAAGATTCCTCTGCTGAGGGCTATTATTGGAGCCGGTCTCTATCCGAATATGGCATACATGCGGTAAGATCAAGAGACCAACTCTGTATCTTTAGATGAATATGTCGGATCGCAAGATCGCAATTTCTTGGCAAGCAATATGCGTTGCTTGGTCATGACACTGAGACCGAGAACCAGGGCTCAATACTTTGATAACATTTGGACGTAGTATCTCTTGAAAGTCGAAAAGTGTACTAATGATGTGCGGTTTTGATGTGAATTGTAGTGGACACGTGACAATTATTAATCGAAATCCGATATAAGTACTATAATTTACCATAATTATCCAACAGCAAAACACGTCGCATACGGAATTCAGTGCGTGCTGTTCATAACATGTCCACGGACGACGGCAAGCGTGTGAATTTTCATCCTTCATCCGTGAACAGCGGGGAATCCAGCTTTGATTCGGATTATTTCGTGTATTACCAGCGACAGAAGTCCTCATCGCTGTATTTACTCGATTCCACAATGGTCTTTCCCATGGCTCTCATTATTTTCGGCGATGGCGTCGAGGCGGGTGTCAAAGACAGAGTGCCCTACCTATCCGTGGCCAATACATACTTGTGAGTGGGGATATCTTTACAGATAAATGGCTAGTTTTAATGTTTATTTCTTTTCAGTTTTAAATGCAATCCAGAGACTGCCAAAGTGGTGCTTGAGCTGCGCACAAATCTGGGTAGATTGCTGCTGAAAAAGGCTCTCTGTCCGGCACCCATCGAAGAGAATGGCGAAGAGAAGCAATTGATCAAGTACGGCATTAACTAAGACAAAGGCTATTCAATCATTAAGATGTTTCAAGAGGCACCAAAAAGCTATTAGGGGGATTGTCAGGGGTTTTGGTGATGCCCCGAAGGATAGCCCAAAATATAATTTAAGCACCAGGTTCCGTGCCCGTTTCATGCAACATCTTGGTGTTTTATAGTCTTTGCCAAAGAACACTTTTGTAGAAATTTTCTCATTCGGATTTAATTTTCTTTGCAGAGCAATTGAGTTGCTGCTTTCATTGGACGAGAAATTGGATGACGATTCGTTTTCGTCCGACGAAATCGATGATATCTGAATGCGGAAGAGGCTCAGAGCATAATTTAATTCCATTTTATTGTGGTTCATTAGTCGAATGGTATATTACCAAAAAATATATGTATAATCAAAAATAAATTATGTGTGTTTGTTCGAAGGATTATTATTCGTCTTCGAGTAGGGCAAATACATTGCGCGAACGTGGTGCCTCATCCTCCTCGATGGCGCACGAGTCCTCGTCGGCATTAGTCTCATCGTTGGAGCTGTCCTCGTCTTCGTCCTCGCTATCAGCAGCTGGAAAAGAGGAAATTTAGAAAAGGGTTTCATATAGAGACTTTTCGTGGGCTCTCACTATCCGAGCAAACGGAGGAGGTATCGCCATTGGTCTCGCTCTCTGGCTCATCTTGCAGCTCCACTTGTTGGTACTTCTTGACCTCCGGCACATCGGGATGCTGCAGCCAGTGCTCGCGGCGCGCCTCATACCCTGGCGGATAGAACTGCAGCACCAGCTGCTGCTGTCCGGCCAGGCACATGCGCAGAATGTGATTTGCGGCCCGATAGCGATCCGGCCTGGCCGCCTTAGCCGTTAGGAAGCCTCGCTTGTAGGCCCAGGCATCGGAAATGGCCACAGCCGACCACTCGTCATAGTCTTCGGGCAATTGGAGACGCAACAGTTCCGGCAGATTCACATGCTCGCCGAGAAACTTCAGGGAGCGATAGGGCACAGACAGCTGGGAGATGGGAAAGCTGCCAAGCAGCACTTGCAGGCACTTTGGCGTAGTCGAGGGAAAGACTAGGCCGGGACAGTCGCAGAGCCGTACGAGTGGTGTCAGGAATATGGTCTGAAAGTGTTTGGTATGTCCGGGAGTGCGACTAACGCTTACCACCTTGCGCCCCTTGAGGGCATTGATTAGCGAGGACTTGCCGACATTCGGAAAGCCAATGCAGCCGATGGTAAGGACGCCACTGTGATATTTGACATGCTCATGGGGCGTGGTATCGATGCTGCTGCTGATTTTCAGCTCACCTTCCACGGCGGCTGCCACATCTTCCAGAATGTCCAGCTGATCGCTCCGCATATCCTCGCGTATCTTCTGCTCCCAGGCGGACAGATCCACCTCCGACTGGACATAGCGCTGGCACTCGCGATAAATGTTGTAGACACCCTCCATGCTGCGCTTGTGGGCCTGTGGACCACGCTGGCAGCCCTTGCGAGAGCGTGGCAAGAACGAGGCAAACATAACGATCGGCAGCTGGGGATAGCGCTCCTGAAAGTACGCACGCCAGGCCACAACCACCTGTGGTTCGACGAGATCAACCTTGTTGAAGACCACAATAGCATGCTTTTTCAGTGTGTTGATGATGTAGTCGTACAGGGAGGGTGGGAACATCAGGGTGGCATAACGCACATCCACAATGATGAGCAGTATGTCCGAGAATTCAAGAACACGCCAGAGCTGACGCCACGTTTCCAGATTCAGTTCGAACAGCGAGAGTTCCTTGGTGTCACCACTGCGTTGCTTCTTTTGCAGCCCGTCCACATAATCCTAGGATTAATCCTTAATGAAATGCCGCAAATATCCCAGTAAACATGAACCATGAACCATGACCTACCTTAAAGTAACGATTCTCACAGCGGTCCAGCTGTTCTTTGGTGCTCGACAAACTCCAGGCCGGACGCAGGGGAAAATCACAGCCGGCAAAGTAGCGCTCATCGATTTCGCGCTCCGTGGGACTGAGTGACTGCAGGGGCTTGAAGCCCTCCAGCTTCAGCTGCTCCAGTTCCTTCTTGCCCTCCTGGTAGAATTGTAAATTGTAACGATTCACATTCTTGTTGCGATTTCCACCCCGAGCGAACGGCTGCTCCATGAGCTTCCGCGTCGTTTCGGGCACATCGCTGTCCTCGTAGGACTCCTGGGCACTGCGTAAATACTTGGGCGGACCTGGCCGGCAATCAATGTCATCGTTAGTGTGGTGTGGCTCGTGGGATTTGATTTCTTTTCTCCCACAAATAACAGTGGGGCGGGGGGAATTGTTGACGTACCTTTTGTGTTGCGTTTTTGCAACATCTGATCCTTCTTCTTCTTGCCGCTAAAGGCTACCTTGCGTCTCTGCTGTGGCATTGCGGAATGTTAATTTCGTTTGGTTTCCTATGCTTCTGTAGCTCTCTAAATTTCATTAATTTAATTCTGATTAAATGTTATTGCGGCTTCTCTTTTGCGCCGACATTCCGTTGATGAGTCTGGCCAGGGCTGCCAGGCTGCTCGAAAGCTCCGAAGAAGTGGGCACTAAAAAATCAGTGCTGCCCACCTTAAAAAAGTTGTTTTTACTACGAAATTTAAACAAAAACGACTATAAAATATTGAATAATGCTGATCTACATAAAGTGGCACATAAGACAGTAACATTTAATTTTAATTTTTAAATATACTACAGTTCATATGCAATTATTAGATATTAAAAAGCCAAGTTGGCAGCACTATTGTAATGGCGTCCAAAGTGCAATCAACTTGTTTGCTTGAATTAAGATTTGTAGCTTTTAAAAAATGCCGCTGAAAGGCATCAAAGTCTTGGAATTCGTTGGCCTAGCCCCTGGTCCACTCTGTGGCAAAATCCTGACCGATTTTGGGGCTACCGTCACCCGCATTGACAAGGTAAACACTCCAATTCGATCATTGATCTTTCTACATCTTAACATTTTTAAAGATCCTCGATAATCAGTTGGATGTACTGCAACATGGCAAGCGTACAATGTGCGTTAATATGAAAGATCCTGAGGGGCAGCAGCTGGTGCGCCGCCTGGCCAAGAAAAGCGATGTACTCATCGAACCCTTTCGACCGGGCGTCATGGAGAAGCTCCACTTGGGTCCCGCCGAGTTGTGCGGAGAGAATCCGCGTTTGATCTATGCCCGTCTGACGGGATTTGGCCAGCAGGGACGTTTGGCGGCACGCGCTGGTCACGATCTCAACTATGCAGCCATTTCGGGCGTTCTGTCCATGCTGGGACGCAGACACGAGAAGCCCACCGCACCGATTAATCTTTTGGCCGACTTCGCGGGCGGCAGTGTGATGTGTGCCCTGGGCATTTGCCTGGCCCTGCTGGAGCGCCATAACTCTGGGCGTGGCCAGGTCGTGGATGCGGCCATGGTCGAAGGAGCTGCTTATGTGGCCAGCTGGTTGTTCCTGTCGCGGGATCTTCATATTTGGGGAAAGCAGCGTGGCGACAACATCCTCGATGGCGGGGCATATTTCTACGATAACTACCAAACAAAAGACGGTCTCTACATGTCTGTGGGCGCGCTGGAGCCGCAGTTCTTTGAGCTTCTCAGGCAGCGATTGGAACTGCCCGAGGATCTGCCGCAGTTCGGAGACGAGCATCAAGAGCGGGGCAGGCGGCTATTAACGGAAGCATTTCTAACAAAAACCCAGGCAGAATGGTCGAAGATCTTTGAAGACATAGATGCTTGCGTTTATCCCGTGCTGGACTATACAAAAGTCCACCAACATGCCCACAATAAGGAGCGGCAATCCTTCGGGCTGCTCGGTGATGCAGTGGCACCGCGTCCAGCGCCACGACTGAGTCGTACTCCTGGAAAACTGCCCAAGGCAGAGAACACAAAGCAGGAAGAACTGATAGGGGATCTGGAGTTGAAACCCGAAGAACTGAAAAGATTGTTGGAGTCGGGAGTGCTGACGTTGCCAGATCGGGCAAAGCTCTAGCCTGCTGTATAACAGTTCTTGTTGAAAGCTTCGAAGTGCAGTTTATTGTTTACATCCGTATTGAGAGCCGCCCCAAGATTTCGCCGATTGTTGTTTAAAATAAAAGACTTTATTGTTTTGTTGCTCTTGCATTCAAAATTCTTTTATTCTCGCTCTTGCACACAAAACACAGTTTAAATTTACTAAATTTTTCGCGTACAAACTATCAGTCATACAATTTGTTCATGAACGGGTTTGTGCCGAACTATTGGGGATTGGGGGGGAGGAGTGATAATACAGTATAATTTAATAGAAACTATCTTATCGTTTAAATTCCGATTTTTCGTTTATCGCTTTCGTACACGCTCTCTCTCGCTGTTTCTACTTATTCGCTATACTAGCATACAGAATTAGCACAGAAATATTCTCTAAAAAGCACCGCGCGTCAGCGTTACCAGTAGTTCGATTTCTCTTAGTTTCGTTTAAATATATATCGTCATATATATATTTAATACAATTCATTTATTATAATGCTCATATGTATGTAATGTATATGTAATGCATAGGTAGTTATGTATGTATGTTTCATGTAAATTTCACTAGTTTGATTTGGTTTTGGGCTGCAGGCAGTTTCATTAAAATCCGCCCGCTGGGAAATTGCTGTGAAAAAGAGGTTATGGACAATAGGCCAAACGGACCAACAAAAAATGATGCAACGAATGCTATGTAAAATGCAACTCTTTTGCTTATCATACCTTGAAGACGAAATCCACATTTCCAAATTGTTTGTAGGTGCCTTTCAATTTTCCTTGGCTGTTTTTGCCTGTTGTCCATACCTTTTATAATTTCATCGTTATTTGTAGTATGTAGTAGTACGTTCCGTATATGTCGCTTAGTCCCGGGTAAAGTAATTCATTGTAAGTCCTTAAGTAAGTGTTTCGTTTCGTATTTGTATAAATAGTAAGTCTCAGTTCTCAGTATAAAATCAGTACCATATGTTACGTTTTCAATTTGTTTTTTTTTTTTTTTTTCGTTTCGTTTACAATTACCGTTGTGTACAGTTTATTAGTATTAGTTTATTACATTAAAAATATCATAATTTCTTTACATTTCACTTTGCTCTGCTGCGCGTGGTGCTTTTTTTATTTACTTCAATACTTGCACACAATATCATACCCGTACACGCACACGAACATGCACACATACATTCTTAGCATACACAGTTTATCAAATCACAGGCAATGTTTACAGTTATAGTTGTAGCACAATTGGCATTTTTTTGTAGAACAGACGACGCGACCTACACCCTATTCACACATTTAATAAAACGGCTAAAATGTCCATTCTCCAAACAAAAAAATTGGAGCAGCCTGGCATCTTAACCCTCATTTAACTTTTATCTTAGCCTATATGTTTTAAGCCTAATGAGGGAAAATCAAAATTTTACAAGCTTCTTGAAATTCTGAAGAGGTTTCGGTTTTTGGGTTTTTTTGTTGTTTTTTTCGTTTTTGGAATGATAACATACAGAAATACTCAGTCACAGTTGCGGGCACACACGTTCTTACATTGTAATAGATCTATACATATGCACAGGCATGTAGATTTAATATGTAATGTATAAAAGTTAGAAATTTGTGCTAGATGAGTGCTTCTCTAGTACTGGGTGTGATGTACCATCCATTCACTCGAAACTCTTTCTCTTTCCCAACACTACTTTTGCATAACAACCATTTGTCAATCATCACATAATTCTCATCATCAATTCTTCATCATACAACGCACGCACAAGCATCATTTATCATCTCAAGTACTCATCAAGTCATACTTAATCAACACACCTGTGAAAAATATGTGCAAAGAAAAAAGAAATATATGATTATTAGCAAAATATTTTGTATGTGTGGGACGCTTGTGCGCAGGTTTTTATTGGTTGTTTGTTTTTGTAACTAACTTATTTTGATAAATTGAATTTAAAAATTCTATGCATCACTTACATTTTGTTTACCACAGCCATAAAGTGCAAGATCCTCTCGGCGGCGGCCTTCGCTCAGCTCAGGCTGAGGCTCATCTTCAATAGATTCAGAATCATCCAAAAGTCATTCAAGAGGCAGACATAGACATACATCACCATTCTTCATCATACTTTATCTTGATCATAATTCATAATCTATCATTCATAGCTAATTTTGGTACATATTAAATTATTTCATTTTGGCAATTCAAATTGTCTCGTTGATATCGTTGTTATTCTAAAAGTTGTCATTTCAAAAACTCAATATTTAATAATGAATTTCTTTTTGATATGTTGAAAGGTATTTTTTTTAAATTTTCAAATTGTTTTGCTCTCGTTTGGACGGCTGTGCGATATTTCAATTGCAAACTTACCAATTGTTTTTCTTTTAGATATTTTTTTTTGAAATGACAACTTGTTTGTGAGTGTTCATTGAAAAAAGCTCAAGTTTAATTCCAGTTGAGCTTTGTTTAATGAATTCCACATTATAATTACAAACCAGATAATATTTAATGCTTATCTACGGTATATAACCACACAATAGTTTGCTTTACATTCAGTTTTCGACACACTTTTATACTTAGTTTTAATTGTAAGTGTAATGAAATGTTTGGAAAAGATTTTAAACGGTTAGTTTTTCATTTGATTTCTTTTTTCCTTCGTTATTTTTCTCCTCGTTCACAGTCGCGTCTTTTTCGTAAGGTAGTTTCTGGTTATGTTTGTATGTATGGAAGTGTAAATGAACTTATGGTAAATGGTCCTAAGTATGTGAGTGTCGTTGTTTTTGTATAGAAACGGAATCAGGTCCGGGCTTTATATAGGCACGATTGCCAAAGCGGATATTCCAAAACATTCTGTATAAATTACACATCCCCACAAAAAAAAGTGTCGTGCGCGGCTGACCAAAGGCAGTAGTTAAAAATTTAAATTCAGTTTTCAAAAACTCAAAATGGCGGATCCAATAAGACCGGACTTACTTAAAACGAATAATTCTCCGGCCTTGCATCTAGATCTTTCCCTTTTAAATAGATCTTTTGAAGAGAAAATAACTCGATACATCTCGAAACAAGAAAACTCAAATTCGGAATCAGCGACCCCAAAAGCCCCCCATTGACGAGTTTCAAGCAAATTCGATACATTTTTCAAATGAGTTTCCACCATGTTTTGACCAAATTAGTTTTTTTGAGGCTAGAAAAAAACCTGCCGGGATGGAGCAAATCTGACCTTGGATTCGTGTTCAGGGCACCAAAATACATAGGGATTAGTGTTGGGTAAACATTGCTCATTTTGGTGAACATTTTCACTTGTTCTTTTTTAGTGAGTCAATTCACTCATATTGCTCTCTTAGATTGCTCATTTACTCACTTGCTCAGTTGCTCACTTGCTCAGTTGCTGACTTGCTCTCTCAGTTGTTCACTATTCATGCACAGATGGTTCCAAATTTCACTATACTTTCGAATTAGCGACATACTGAATTTTTGAAAGAGTATACAGCTTTGCCGGTAATACAAAAAGTGTGAAGTAAACGTAAATATGAGCAACAGCTGCCAGATCGCAAAATGCCCTTTGAGGAGCAAAATTGCGCAAAAAGTGAGTAGAGAACAACAAAGAACAAGTGAACAAAAAAGAACAGCTTGGAAGGAACATGTTCAGTTGCTCACTTAAGTGAACAACTCTTTTTTGTTCACTCACTCATGAGCAACACAACACTAATAGGGATAGGATACTCTGGTCAGTCGCGCACGACACTTTTTTTTGTGGGGATGTGTTATTTATCAAAATTAATATTTTATATTAGTGTTTAGGATAGTTTTAAATTGCATGGGCTACGAAAATAAAGTAACAAATATGTTAAATAATTACAATTTATTTACAATTGAATTTTTTAAATAAGTTTGAAATTTAATTTGGTAAATAAATGTCATTAAATTTTTTTAGCTATGCAGCTTTCTTTAAAAAAATATTTGTATGTGTAACTAAAAGTGGTAGAAAATTAAGGATAGTATTTCTTTTTAGAAAATTTTGAGTATACAAAAAATGATAAAAGCTATAAACAGTGAATAGAAGAACTAAATTTAGGATTATAGTGCAACTTCTAACTACTGAACCTATTTATCAAATTAAGCTATAATTTTGCAATTTATTTATTAGTCTATTTCTTACGTATGGGGGAAAAACACGGCCTTGGTTCCGTCTCCTAGTTTTCGTCCTATCAGTCGATTGTGTATGTAAAATGTAATGTATATTTGTCTTTCAGCGCGTTTTCTACACGTAAAGTAAAATGTAAAGTACGGGTTTTTCGTTTTCGTTAAGTTTTTAGTTTTTGCTTTTGTTGTTGTTGTTGTATACCCTGGTCCGTTGCTCGTTGAGTTTTAGTATCTTTCGTTTATCTAATTTATATATTTATATGTTTGTGTATGCTGCAGGTAGTTGCTTGGTTGTTATTGCTTTTTTTACACAATTGAAATACAAAAAATAGAATTAAAGTCGTTCCGGCAAAATAAGCGTCATTCGTTGAAATTAATGCGAGCAAAAAATAGTACAAAATTGCATTAAGTTAAGGTATATTTTTCTGGAGCGTAGCGAAATAATGTTAACTGTACTTTGATCAAAAATTAAGTTTAAACTAGGTTTATCTTGAGATGTTTTGCGTTCTATTTTGTTTTTGTTGTATTTCAGGGTATGGTATTTCTAAGCCGCCACGCCCCATGCTTTGTACGTCCCTAAGTCATTTTTGTATTTCGTTTTTCCATTATTGTTACTAAGTTATTTTTCACGTTACTTTTTTGTTTTCAGTCGTCTTTGAGTCTTACAATTGTTTTTCGTTTTTGTTGTTTTTTTGTGTAAATTTTAAATTGAAATCCGTTTAAAATCTTTTTTGTTTGGTTTTTTGCTTAAGACTAAAATCATTCACTAGAAAAACTCTTACGCTTACTTTTTTAATATCACACAACACACGCCAACACACGCGCGCCAAAGAAAATGTGAGGGTGGAAGGGCGGAGAGGTTTTTCAGCCATTTTCCCAATCACAAATACCATTTGCAGAAGCATCCATCACAGATTCACACTTGAATATGACAATTGGGGGTTTATTTTCTGTCTTCCCTGGGGATCTAGGAAGGTTATAAGGCAGTTTGACA